ACTTGTAAGAGAGAGAGAGAGAGAGAGAGAGAGAGAGCGCTTCGTGTTACACCATGGCATTTATTATTGTTGAGATTTTCATGTCGGATGCTCGATAAGTACGCGGTTCTTCCGTTCATCCTATCGATTAGATTGAAACTCATACTCGACGAGTCGTTGCGGTTAAAAGCGACAAATTATGTCCCTCTGCCTTCTATTGATATTCGCTTTTCACCGGAAATTATTGCTAGTTTGTCCAAAATCTCTGGCTTGCTCGGCGTATACGGTCTTCTTCCTCCGATATTAATCTCTGGACTTACGTTTCGTAATGGATCATTAATAATGCTCAACCTGTGGGCGCGAGCGTGGTACTTTCCATCTTATTCAAATCTGGCGTTAATTACCGATTATATAATTTATTATTAATTGAGATCAATTTTGTCTAATGCTTCCGATGACGCTTAATCATTAGACATGTTTCTGTTCTCTGTTCTCTTTGTTTAATGTGTATATATATATATATATATATATATATATATATCCTTATGTGTGTCAATCTCTCATAGTAAAACGTTAATAATATATGATAATTGCTTAGAACAAAATGAGATGGATATTGGCTATGATTTATAATAACTAACGTATTTTTATTTAAATTCAGCAATAAGTAGTAAAATAAATATGCCCATATAATATTCTATTACACTATAATATTAAATTATTTATTCCCAGAAATTTATATTAACTAAGTTCTTTCAAAATCATATTTTTAATGAACGGTTTATGTGAGCGCATACTTTATCTAAACAATTATTTTATTTGATTATAAGTCGCAGTCGTTATTGTTACTAATAGTAACTAGATATAAAATCATCATAAAAAATTAGAATAACTTAAAAATGATAATATTCAAAAATTATTCAATTTTGTAATTATTACCGTAAATAACCTTATCGTAGCATTCATTAATATTTTAATTATATAATTAAATACATATGTATTACATCTCTTTTTAGTTTTATATTTATAAATTAAATGTATGAATTATATTTTTATATAATATATACTGCTTTATAATCTAATAAAAATTGAATATAATTTATTTTTATTATATTTCATAAATAAATAGTGGTATCTGAAACAAAATATATATATTTTGAAAGTATGATACATTGGAGCAGAATTTTTGATAAAATTTTAAAAGAACATTCATGATAAATGACTATTGAATGTTTTACATACATATTTCATTCCAGTGAAAGTGATGATAAAATGGCTTATGTAGCATATTGATATAATTGATTGGACTTTAACCAATTTTTCTCAAATATAAAAATACATATTAAAACATATTATATTAATAATTGTTCAATCTTATGACGTAACGAATTAATTATAAAAATTATAAATAAAGATATATAATCATCGATTAAATACAATTATAGATGGTTGTAATATTTAATGTTTTTATTATTTCATCGAATAATAATTTCTTAATCACGATTTTAATTATTATCATTTCTTTTCTCTTAAATAATTTAAAAGTAGATTACTTATCTTATAGGGGATATCAGCCTCGGCAAAATCCATAAATTGAACCCTTCCAAATCTCCGACCTTACGTACAAATATAAAATTGAATAAATGGTCAATGAAAGTTTGTCCCACGTTGGATATTCGAATATAAATGAGATAGCGATACAGTAAGAAATTTTATTGTTTATACAAGCATTTGAAATTCGTTCGGTAAAGAAAGGCTTCTACATAATATATACATATATATATATATATATATATATATGGATTGACGAATGCTTCAAATTTATTTTATTATAAATTTCGTAAATTATAATTTTCACATTATTGATGATATTTTATATTTGTATTGATATTTATAATTTTCTTTCTTTGTTATGCTTTATTAATGCGTCGATAATGAATTGTAAATATTGAAAAGTTTTATCTTAATTAATTAACACATGAAAAGATAAATTTATTCGCACCAACAAGTTCACTTGGAATTATATAAATATATTCAATTTGTAATTCAACTATATACATATATATATATATATATATATATATATATATATTCAATAATAGAAACAATTTATAATAATTTATACTAACAACATTATTTTAATTACGTGTGCGAAATAATTATTATAAAAATTTATTTTTAAGAAAATTTATATAAACTAATAAAATTGCTTCTGATAAATCATTTTATGTCTTGGCATGATAAATATATTTTAATTTAAATAAAATTTAATTGAAGAGCAATGTATAATTTATAATTTATAATTTATAATTTATATTTAATTACGGATTAAAAAAAAAAGTAATGGATCAAATCAAATCATAAATTAATTTTATAATATTATTATGTAATTACATTTTTTTTTAATTTACTTTAAAGAAAAGGTAATAGACTCAATTACTTGATATAATAATAACAGAAAATATAATTTATATTTTATATAAGCTTTTAATACTTATTAATTTTTTTAAATATTTGTAATGGCATAAGATATTATTACTGATTAAAGTAAAAAGTATAATTATTAAAAAAATAATAATAATAAATAAAAGGCATGAAAAACGAAATACGAAATAATTCATAGAGATAGAAATAGAAACAGCGAATAACGAAATATTATGAGAACAAGCAAATATATTGATGAAAAACAATTAATGCAAATGAAAAATGAAGATCAAATACAACGTAAGCATATTTAAGGAAAAAATTCAAATATGCTGCAATTGAATGAGATAATAGTAATTGTGTTACATGCGAATATAATAATCACGTGTTAAAAGGAAAATTTAGTATAGTTTAAAAAGATATAAAATATTTTAATTATTATAATATTAATATAATGCAAACATGAGACATTATAAAAATGTGTTTCATGAAAGTATTTATTAGATGTAGAAATACAAATTTAAATTCGATTGTACTTTAAGAAACATTGTTTTGTTTTATTAATTTTTATTAATATATATTTATTAATTTTGAAGATTTAACATAAATATAAAAATTAATTTTAGAATAAAAATATTTAGAAATATAAAATTCAAAATGATAAGAATTAAGCAAATAGTGTTATAAATTTTCCAATTGTCTGACCATTCAACTCGGATTTCACTAGCTTTGTTCAGCCAAAACGTTAAATAATAATCAATTAAATAGTATCTGAAAATTTACTTTGCAAACAATCTAGATTGAAGTTACTTTGCCATGTTTTATAAACATTTCTACCAACTGAACAGTAACTTATTAAACTCCTTTATTTATAAATTTGCAATATGATTAATTCAGATAATAACAGCAATGGAATTCTACTACACTTAAAAAAAAAATTTTTTTCTTTAATTAATTCAATTAAATAATATATGTAAATGTGTAATTAAAAAAATTAAGTATATGTATATATTAATGTTGGAAGAAAGGAACAAAGGAAAAAAGGAGAGGGGAGAAAATCGTAGAAAAATATGCGAGTCCTAGTCCAATTCTAAAAAGAATAAGTAAAATTAACTCGTATATCCTGATAATATTTATTGAAAGCTAACATTGAATTGTAATTTTAAAATAAAATAACCCTTCCGTTTATTATTATTATTATTATTGTTAGTTGAGTCAGAATGTGACTAAAATCACTCATCCAACCCAGGGCTACAGTAGCCTGACCATTATATTCAATTTTCTCTTACTGCTTTCCTTCAAATAAAAACTCTATCATCAATTTCTTTTTTAATGGATTTTGTCCTTTCTTCCACCATATTCCATATAATATTATTATTTATAGCTTACCTAAGGTTGAAATGTTTTTAAAAATGGCATTATAAAATACATAAAAATATTTGGACACTTATATCAATAATTAATAACTCTATTTTTCTATAATATTCGATATTTTAATGAATAATAAATTTCGTATACATTTTTCGATAGGGACCATTTGAGTATTAATTTTGAGTTTTTCGTAATGTATTAAACTTCTCTCAACATGGCTCTCCAAAACTAACTGAAAAATCTTATATTAATTTAAAAATATGGGAGTAAGATGTAAAAGTAATCACTAATACTAATTCTATTTTTTCTAAATTTGTTATCATACGTTATTTACTAGTTAAAAAAATTCAAATCTAACTATATTATTTATTCATCAGTAGATATTCTATGGTAATATGAAATCTCAAACACCAGCATCTTTCAATAATAAGCTTCAAAGATAATATTGGGAAAGATTTAAGTGAGTCAAGCGATAAAGAACCCATATCCGATAATTATTCAAAATAAACCATGCAAATTAAGTTGCAAATTAATTTTTTGTGAATAGAGGATCGACCTCTTATCGAAAGACCTACATAAGTGAGATAAGTGATGAATTATGATGTAAAAAGGAGAATATAGAGAAAGTATATTGATTCAATCTAAATGTGCAGAATATACACAGAATACAGGGGAATAATAATTAAATCACTTTATATTCATTTTAATATAGTAATAATATTAAAAATACCAATTAAAATTGCAATAATTAAGAATATTATTTTAATGTGCTCTATGAATGTAAATATGAAAATAGAATTTTTAATTGCCTAAAATCACTGGAAATTTAAACGTAATTCATATAGAAATAGATAATTTCACTTGATAATTTTATAAAAACAAATAAAAATTTTTTAACAGCTAGTCTTCTTTTCTTGATGAAATTCCGAATTATAAGTATATCAATTAACCTAATATCGTTAGAATAATAAGTAATAATACCTTATATACAATTGCACTAGTCCAATAATATAATAAAATATTTATTATTATGAAAGTAATTGAATGAATAATTAAATTACTTGTTTCGCTCAAAAAATTTAACGAAGAAATATATTGGGCACTCATGTATATCTGCATAAGTATTTAAAAAACAAAAATATATATATATGTGTGTGTGTGTGTGTGTGTGTGTGTGTGTGTGTGTGTGTGTGTATAGTAAAAGGTTTTTGTCCTTCAAATTTCAGACAGCAACTTTGTGCTGGGAAATGCGCAGGTGCCGACGATTTATCCGATCGTCTACTGCTCCGATGGATTCTGCGACCTGACAGGATTTGCACGTGTGGAAATTATGCAAAAAGGCTGCGCCTGCAAATTTCTATATGGGCCGGAAACGAAAGAGGAAGAAAAAGCTATGATCGATAAGAGTCTCGAGAGCAAAACCGAATTAAAGCTCGAGGTTGTATTTTATAAGAAGTCCGGTAAGTCTATTCAACTGCTATAAACATTGTATGCCTGAATGCGTGAACGTAAGCATGTGTGATTATACAACTTATTGTGATGTTAAACCTATAATCTGCAAATATAAGAAGCTATAAATAAGTTATTTGCAGAATATATTTATTCTCTACAAATTCTTAAAATTAGTCAAACGAAAGTTTTTTACGAAGATAAATTAAAATTTTTATACATAATCTCTTAATTTTAATCGTATTAATTAAATTCTATTTGACTACTAATTTTTATATAATTCAATGAATTTTATTAATAAAATTTCTTTTCTTACAATAATAGTTCGTATGAATGATATTTTCTTTTATAGATACAAAGTTTTGAAATATTTCTTTATTGACAATGGAAGGAAAAAATAGCAAAAGCTAAATAATCGAAAAGCCCATACATTCCCAATGATTGAGATAAATTTACAGCAAATTCACATATATTGAAAGCTCAAATCAAATTTATATGTTCAAGCAAGTCGAAGAGGATTGATTATATTTTAATGTGATGGATATCATTTTATAATATTTAGATATTAAATACTCAACGACCTTTTTCCTCTCATTATATTTTTCTGCTCGACTTACAGATTTATCGCAATTAGTTGCAAATTAAAATTCAAAATGGCTTGTCAAACAATCATTTTGCAATTAGGTAAATTGTCTCTAATAATTTATATATTAAATTTTACGCTAATTTAAAATTATAAATTATTGAATGAATTATTAAATAGTTAGATAAAACTTTTTATGCACATATATCATCTATATAGTGTAAAATGTAAATATTACATTGTCATTACAGATCGTTAAATTTGACTTTTAATTTTTCTGTGCTTTTCATTCAACTTTTTTCAATATTTTATAGTATTAGTAATTTTTGTACAATTTTGAAAAATATATAAAACGTAGAAAATTTAAGACATTGATAAAGTATACGACAAATGAAATATAATTTTCCGATACTTTACTAGTGATATTTATAAATTATTTTATGTGACAATAAATGCAATAATTATGAAATATAAAGATGTTTTAAAAACTTATTAAGTTCATTGCAAAACTTTGGACAGACATAAAATAGTGATACATGCAATTTTAATATTAATTGAGATCTATAAATTAAATGATTAATTAATATAAATTAAATGATAAACGTATTTAACCCTATATTTTCTGTATAATTTCTTAAATATTTGTAACTTTTGTAAAATTCAGTAACATGACGTTTTCTCCAATATCATAACATATTACTTAAAAAATAGAAAAAAGAACCATTAATATTTTAATGGATTTCCAAAATTTATTGCGTATTGTAATCCTTTTTAGGTAAAAAAAAGTAATTGATAAATTTATCTTGAAATAATTTATTATTATATACTGAGAAGAATATTTATTGCCGGATGAACTATATATATATATATATATATATATATATATATTTTTTATTTATTTTTTTTGTCAATGTGGCAAAATAAAATATTAAAATTGCTAGCATAAAAAGTAGAAATAATAATTCTTAATATTCAAATATTAAGGTTTTCAAACGTATTATTTTATTATCGTATTTTTTCAATTATTTGTAAAATATTCGAGACAAAATGTTTTTATTAATATTATTGAATTTAAATGCAGTCAAGTCAGTTATTTAAATACTTTTATAGGGAATTTTTGTCGACATATATCCTTAAAATCATAGTATTTTATAAGTCATTAGAGGAACCTAATCTCATTCAATAATTTTCTCTAAGAATAAAATCCAATATATTTATTTGATGAGCAGGCATCTGCAAAAGTAACGGAAAACCTAATAAAATTCACTAGTAACGTATAGTCTGTTCGTATATATTACGAACATCCCATAACTAACAAATGCACATCGATTCCACGCAGTCATCGTTGAAATTTTACGATTTCTTTTCACATTACTATGAAAAGGTCAAATGCAGAATTTTATTTTTTTGTTGAATTTCCGGGGTGGATTATTTGCAGATAAAATGCAATGTACGAAATAAAAATGTAAAAATTGAAATTAAAGAAAGTATATTCGGCACATCATTCTATTTCTTATACTGTATTGTGTATTTGAAAACTTTTTGAAGACTTTTTGAAGTGAAAGACAATGCATTTTCATTTAATTTTAATTACATATGCAATATGCTGTATATTTTGTTATTGATAAATATTTTAAAAATTGTTTATTCAGCTATCCTTTTTGCCCAATTTTATTTAAATATTCTTTTTCTAATCCATGGTCATGGAAAATATTATTTCTATCTATTATAATTTTTACGAAGAGGCGTCACCCTATGCGCGTAAAGAATAAAATTTTCATTTATATTACATGATGAAAATAAAAGATGTACTTATCAAAAAATTGTAAAAATAAAGTGAAAATGAAAATTATAATTTTCAAATAATTCGTAACAACAATATAATGCCGAATAAATGATATATTTCGTTCCTTGATTAAAAATTAAGGAAAAATCAATAAAAAGTCGTCTACAGCTAATAAATAATCTTATATTCAAATGTTCAAAGACCTTTGGAATTAAAAACAAATAAGTCATCATTATTATAAATGACTTAACGATCTTTGATAATAAATAAAATTTTCATCCTTTGTATGGTTTTTCGTTTTGTTTAATCTTTATTGGAAATACGAAAATTTTCCATAGATATTTCAACATTTAATATTTGCACGGATTTGACAAAAATCTGCTGCTCTCTATACTTTTGTAGAATTAACAGATCTTCCAGCTATAAATATATTAACAAATAATCCATGAACTTCAAATACTGTAAATATGCTAGCCAATTGTACAAAACGAACCTTGTAGACGAGCAAATAATAGAAATGGATTCCACGTTCCGAGCTTTTATCGCTACGTGATGAGAATCTCCCCGTAACCGAATGCATTTGTCTCTTTCTATTTTCCTATTATAATAGTCACCGTTAAGTATAGTTGTTATAATTGAAATTTTATTATACTTAATGGCAAGAAAATAGTTTCATAAGTTTATAAAATTATGTTTTACTGCGGTTTCCTTGCAACACAAATATTATTTCTCAATGAGATAAAGCAATAAAGAATTCTATTTAACTTTTATTTATGTTCGTTCGTGATTGTAATATTAAATGAAACATTTAAATAGAGTTTTACATAGTATAGCACTTAAATTAATTAGACACATGGAAAGATGCGAATAGTTGATAAATTCTGGGCAATGAAGATCAAATATTTCATCTCGAATACAAACATTCGCTTTCAAATAAATATTGAAAATTTTAAGTATTTCACTGGAGGTCAGATTTTCAATCTAAAAGCTCTCGAAATTCATAGCCAACTATTGCATTGGTATTTTAAATTTAAATTAACGAAATCTCATTTATAATATATCTTTTGACTAAATACTAAGTACCAACGATTTATTCAATGCTTTAAAATTACAAATTACAACTAATCTACACCTGTTATTATATAATTATCCATATCCCTGCGTAAAATAGCACCAATTAAAAGGAGTATTATTTAGCTGAGGAAATAACTGTTGCAATTCAAATTCAAGATGTAAATAGGGAGACGAAATTACGTTTCCCAAATCAAAGTGATGTTCATCCAGTCATACTCATACCAAATCAGAATACTTTCATATTTGTACGGAATTTTGTCGTAATATGGAAAATAACTTGGCTACTCTGGCTTTCACTTGAGACTCGATATCTCAAAATTAACACTCACATATTATTAATGAGTATCGTGAAAATAATACTACCGATTAATCTATTACAAAGCATTATTTAATTAATATCACGCTAATTGTTTTTAGTTTATCAATATCTTGAAGACAAAAAAAAGGTAATGATCGAGTGATTATTGGTTATGAATGAAATTGGACATGGAATACAGTTTAAGAAAATAAGTAAATTCAATTTACTTTTATAAACTGAAGTGTTGCAAACATATTGTTCTATTCAATTTATAATATCATTATATAGAATACGATAAGTAGCAAATAGAAAAATAAAAGGATAAAAATAATAATTGAATAAAAATAACGAGAAATTAAAGAAGCTCGTTGAATGAGCTCGATCGACGTTCAACATAATTTACATCTTTTCCTAATTAACATTTTTGATTATGCAGGATCTCCATTCGATTGTCTACTCGACATTGTTCCCATCAAAAATGAGAAGGGTGATGTGGTTCTTTTTCTGGCCTCGCACAAGGACATCACACACACGAAAAACATGCAGCTTTGTGAGTTATATGATAGTGGTAAGTGCATAATGCTTATTGCTAAAGTCGTGGTGTATCGTAAATCGCAAAAGACAGACAATCACTATCATAATAAAATGGTATGCAATTTTCTTAAATCATAAAATGAAATTTTATACGAATTGTCAGAGTACGTATTTAAATAAAGTAATTTCATTACTTACTACATTACTAAAAGACTACTGGCCATACATTCTTTATTCATTATGTTATAATATTTCATTATGACATTTGCATTGAATGTATATGGCATTTTATTTATTTTTTTTTTTTTTTTTATCCAAACATTTGAAAGAATAGAAAATGTTTGAAAAAGTATAGACGACAAAAACTTTCAAGATTTTTTTGTAACAAGTGATACAACATTCACTTTAAGTTTTTAATCGTTAATACTAATCAATAATATATATATATATATATATATATATGAATTTTATACTATAGTTTGATTATTTATGCCGCGTATTGACCATCTACGTGATGTGACGATTTCATTATTAATCGCCTAAAGCAATGATAACATTTATAAAATTATTAAGTATATTAAAACATTATCATCATTAAAACGTTGAAATAATTATATTAAACCATATGACAATTCTTAAATTTACGTAGCTACTACTTGTCGTTTTCTCCCGACAAATTAATAAATAAAAGATTCCTTTCAGCTCGAACGTATTTTTCAATAGTCTCAAAATATCGTCGACAATTGCAAATATTTAATATAATTGTTTGTTTGATATAATTCATCATTTTAGAAGGCTATAAACGATAAAAATCTACAAATAACTATAAATGAGCAAAATAAACCATATAAACGCATACCCGAAGCTCTAGTTTGATAATTAGATTTTTGAGAGTCTCAATATAATCCATCTGACTCTCACTTTAAAATGGTGAGTGAAAAGTGTCTATGTCTGCGTTGTACAATCACGACTGTGAATGTCACGCTTGCGTGCCAACACATCGTCTGTTTACGTATGTACACAAACTTTCTATCTACTTTTTTTTACACGTTATCACCTCTTAATGCTCGTCATAAGGCTTTTAATTTCGCACATTTTCTTTTTTATACAATAGTCGTGTTTCTTTTTTTTTTTTTTTTTTTTTTTTTTTTTTTTTTTTTTTTTTTTTTTTTTTTTTTTATTAACGAACCATAGAGGAACAAATTTCTTTTTCTTAATAAGAATTTATAATTTATTTATTTATTTATTTTTTGTATTTACACGAGCTTTATTAGACATGCAATTCTATAAAAATATCAAGCTACGTTGTAATAATAAGGGAAATGAGAAAAAAATGATAAAGATACTAATAGCTAATGAAAAAACTAAAAAAGAAATTGGATTACTTCGATGCCCCTCGGAAACATTTTTCTAATCGAGTCGGCAGTTTCATTTCCGTCATTTTCCTCTTACGTAAATTATTCTACATTCCAAATGTAAAGATTCGCTAGCAGAAGAAAGTGAAGAGAATGAAAATGTAAGACGTTGATTGAAAAAGAAAATTTCAAGATTACCATGCAAAATAAGGAAAGCGATCGTATAATTGCACATGACAGTTGATTCTCTTCTTATTCCGTAGTATTTATAAAATGGTATTTTTATTTATATAAACATTACGAGGGTTTTATTTACGTAACCCTATCATCATTAACTAAACAATTTCACTAGAAAACTGTTTGGTAAAATATTGTTTTATTCCGTCTTAATAAAATGTGTTATAATAATTGAACTAATGAAAGAATTTATATAATTTATATTAAAACAAGTATTATGATTCATCTGCAGATATAAAAAATCTTATATATCTATATGTTTATATATGTTTCTATATTTTTATCTTATATATCTATATGCAAGCATAGGTGCACACATACTTTTACGCAAATAGAACAGATAAAGCTTGAATATAATAACTAATGTATAAATATTCTAGAAGAATATTAACATTTGTAATAATTTATCCGATAAGGTGATAATTTAATTAGTTTTTTATTTATATATTATCAGATTATGATAGTTCATAGAATTTATTTATTTATTATATTTTTTTATTTAAATGATTGTAAGAAATATTTGGATAAATTCAGTAATATTTTTCACAATTGATTCTTAAATTTTTTAAAATATTTTTAATCTGTTTTATGTTAAAAAAAATTATACAAATAAATAAAACATTCATATGGTAAATTAAAATTATATACAATATTTCACATTTACAGAAATTGCATTTGTAGTAAAATTTAATTAATGCTGATTAATTTTTGTAAAGTATTTGGAAAAATTTAACCAAATATGAACATACGAATATTGCGAGAGAAAAAATTAATTTCACATATTTCGCTTAAAAATTATTATTTTTACTCCATGCCGTAAACATGTCATAATTTCTATTTCTAATATTCTAATCTAATATTAGACATCATTTGATGAAATATAATTTATTAAACAAGATGTGTAAATATTAATAACTATCTACATTTTTTCATTTTCCTATTCGAAAATAAATCTTACATGCTAATCTTCATTATAGAAAATATAATTTATATAAGAGCCTTTATTTCTCTATGAAACATGATATTAGTAATTAGTTTAAAAAATTAATACGTAATTTTATCCAATTTTAGCATATAAAGTATTGTCTTTCGAGAATCTTATTTTTATCGTTTTTTAATAAAATAATATGACTTATTATACGCACTAAAGTAATTTTTCAAATATATTAATTTAAGATAATTTCAACTATTCAAAAATACACTACAAAAGATTTTATTACAATTCAAAAGAATTTTAACAGAATTACTTTCTTTTGTTGAACATTAAATATCTCATTATTCGGTGTATTAAATTTATGAATTATATATTTTTCATCATATATTTTTCATCGCATAATAGAATATCGATGTTGTAATAAATAATTTAAGCTAAAACAAGAAGCTTCCATTTATTTCTGAAGATAAAAGAAAATTAGTTCCAAGTAAAATATATTCACGTAATAATAGTTAATTCTGTAACTCAACGGATAAATTTTTTTTCCAGTTGTATAATTTTTTCATTTAATTGTTTTGAATATTTTAATTATCCTATTGAATAATCTACGGTTAAATGCCCTTATAGAATGCATTATCATTATTGTTATTGGTATTTTAAATAAAATTTTGAATAATGCTTATTCCTTTAAGAGGAAAAAAAGCTTTTAAGGGCATATTTAATGGATAAATTAAGTATATGTAACAATTGGCATAAAATTTTGAAAAATCTTCATCCTACCTAAATTGAAATTAAATGTAATTGAATGTCAAATAACTGCAATGAATATCTTTCAAGCATGAAAGAATTACAAAGGCTAATTTATGAAACTTATGTGGAAGGAAGAAAATTTCAACTGATCAATAAAGTATAAAAGAGTTATAACTTAAAGAATCTTATTTAATAATAACCATTGCAACCAATCAAGCAATCATTCATTAACCAGCGAATGTAACTTTTTCTCTTTTCCCTTGTCACACAAATCATTGTAGTTGTAGAAATAATTAATTTCTTAATTAGTTGAGTAACTTTTTTGAATAGAGCTTTAATTCATTGTCATGCGCAGATGTTAGGTTTTTTTTTCATAACTTCTTTACCTATTAGAATTCCTAATGAAACAAAGGAACTTTATTCTATTGACACTCGTTAGTTAAAATCTATAAGATTTATGATTAATAAATAATTTAAATGAGAAATTTTCTTAAATGCATATTACAAATAAAAAAAATAAAAAAAATACATCAAATAGTCACTTTATAATATTAACCTAATTTTATATTTGTAAAATTTTCGTCTCCGCTCAAATAGAATATTACTAGAACAATTTTAATTCTCAAGTTCAAGAAAATAATTTTAAAAGTAATTTCGTATTCTTATTAAATTTGTAATTTAATTACACATTATTATTTTCCGAATAAAAAAGCTTGTACATTAAATATACTTAAATATTTTTTACTAAGTAGATACAAAATTATTTTATATAAATTAACTTGCAAAAAATTATAAGATGATGTTCTTCAATTGTAGATGCAAATGGTAATTTGGATCCTGAAGCTCCACCAGCAAATTATGCAAGGAGAAGAAGTCGAGCAGTTCTGTATCAATTATCCGGTCATTATAAACAGGACAGTAAACACAAATTGAAATTAAATAATGTAAGTGAAATAACTATACGAGTCTTTTAATCATTATTATACTTCTGGCATATTATTATTCGTTATATATCGTTTAAGCACAATGCTGTGGCTTTCCTATTGTTTTTAGCATAACATCGCTGCTATTTTACTTGAATATTATGTATTTTAAATAGGTATTGTTTATATTTTTAACAAATTAATGCAAAAAAATTAGAACTTAACATTTAGATGTGCAAATTACATTAATATCTTTCGTTAATAATACATAAACAATCTTGTAATAATTTAAAACAACTTTATATCGAACAAATTTACAATATATATTATGAATTTGAATTATCTAATTAATAACTTAATAATATTAGTTAAAGTCTTTTGATTGTTAGTTTAAAATCACAAATTTAAACTCATACAAACATCCCAGTCATATTATTTTTTATATAAAAAATTCTCTTTATCGTTAATCGTCTTAGATGAATACTATTACAGAGTAAATATGAATAAATAAAAGCCATGGCTGCTCGAAGGTTGAAAGAAACATTGTTTCTCATTGTATTGTATTCAGAAATTATCACTGAATAAGTATTAGTTTTAGAAATTTTATTCCAAAATTAGTAGGCATTACGTGGAAAAGATAATTGAAAAAGGCAGTATTATTTATTGGTGAAATAAACACTTTTCATCTTTTCTCTATCATTACATAAAAATTAGGAAAATATAACTCATCTCGCTCAACCTCTCTCTCTCTCTCTCTCTCTCTCTCTCTCTCTCTCTCTCTCTCTCTCTC